ACAAGGCTGCCCACTATCTCCACTTCTGTTCAACATAGTGCTGGAAGTCTTGGCTACAGCAATCAGACAGGAAAATGGAATCAAAGGTATCCAAATAGGGGCAGAAGAGATCAAACTTTCACTGTTTGCTGATGATATGATATTGTATCTAGAAAACCCCAAGGATTCAACCAAGAAACTCCTGGAACTGATCAATGAATTTAGTAAAGTCTCAGGATACAAAATCAATACACAGAAATCAGAGGCATTCATATACGCCAACAACAATCTAATTGAGAACCAAATCAAAGACTCAATTCCCTTCATAATAGCAACAAAGAAATTAAAGTACCTAGGAATATACTTAACCAAGGACGTAAAAGACCCCCTATGCTACTACATCCTCTTCTCACTTGCTGTACTAGCTTCTTATTGCTGCTGTAAGAAATTACCCCAAACCTAGGGACTTCAAACAACACTCATTGGTTGTCTTACAATTCTGAAGGTCAGAAGTTCTAAATAGGATTTACTACATATTGTAAGTGAACAAGGTGTCTGCCAGGCTATGTTGCTTCTGGTAACTCTAGAAGAAAATCTGTTTCCTCACTTTTCCAGCTTCTAGAAGCCATCTGCACTTCTTGGCTAAGGGGTCTTTCCTCCTCTTCAAAGCCAGCAGCATTGCGTCTTCAAATCTCTCTCTGGGGGTCACTATTCTGTCCACCACACTTGCTCTATATACGCTATCATTTAGGCTATCTCCTCAACTTTAGCTGCAAAGGGTGAGCCTGCCTGCCCAAATCACCATTATATTTCTCCCAATAAAAAATCGGTACAGACAATTTTGGGTTTTGTTGTTAATGACTATGAAATAGTTAATAGGGGAAACAAAAGTGTTAAATGAGGGACACTATAAAGAGCTGGGGAAACTTATAAAATTAAAGATAGACCACAGTGTATGAGAGCTTAGTCTTTAGCATTCATGGGACCTAACTTGGAGTCCCATTTACCACCTTGTGAATTAACAGTGTCTCAATTTGTTCATGGTGGTTATTACCACAGTTAGATTATAGAACTGTTTCAGTCTGAATTAGTCTATTCTACAAGAAGAGGATTCCACAGTTTGTCTCCAGGATTGAAGCAAGATGGCAAGAATGTGTGGCCAGTTTCCTACAATATCCTGGTTGGGGCATGGTCTCTGGAGCCAGGCTGCCCGGTCAATAACTTAAACTCTCAGTAGATGTAAAGCACTTAGAACAGTGCCTGGCATATAGGATGAACTATGAAAGTGTTGCCTTTGATGTGATGATGGGGGTTTTCACATGGCCTCCCAGGAAGTGATTATGATGATTAATTTTAATGTGTCCACTTGACTTGGCTAAGAGATGGCCAGATAGCTGGTACAACAGTATCTGTGGGTATGTCTGTGAGGATGTTTCCAAAAGAGATTAGCATTTGAATCAGTAGACTCAGTAAAGAAGATCTACCCTCACCAACTTGGGTAGACACCATCCAATCTTTTGAAGGATTAAATAGAACAAAATAGCAGATGAAGGGAAAATTCTCCCTCTTTTCTTGAGCTGGAACATCCATCTTCTTCTGCCTTCAGACATTAGATCTCCTGGTTTTCAGGCCTCTGGACTCCATGACTCGCACCAGCCCAGCTGTCCACCCCTTCCTTCTCTACCCCCTACTCCTATTCTCAGGCCTTCAGACTTGCTCTAGAAATTTGCAGATGGCATATCATGGGACTACTTGATCTTCATAATCTCCTGATCATGAGTCATTCTCATAATAAAGAATGTTATATATATATATATATATATATACACACACACATACATATGTACATATGTGTGTATATATATGCTTCTCTGGAGAACCCTGACTACTACAATGGTCTGAGAGAGCTAAGTCTACTTCTATTAACAAATAAACATAAGAGTAAGGACAATTACAATGTGGATGACAATGAAAATATTAGCTAAATTTCAGTCATTACTAAGTGCCAGGTACCTTGCTGGGCAATTTATATGATCTCATTTAATACTCCTAACAGCCTTATAAAGTAGGTCTGTTATAATTCCTATTTAAATGTGAGGTTTTGATAATCCTCTTTTTTGTCATTCTCCTCCCCCCCAGACAGTGTTATTCCTTACCTCCCCGCCTTTGCTTACACTCTCTCCCTCCTCTCCTTATCCTCACTGCATATACCCTTTGCCTTACCACTTGTCCACGGTTCCCCATGCCCTCTCAGGCCATGTTAGGAATGCTTCCTCTGTTTCTGTGTAATATCTCACTCATATTGCTATCATCACACATACAAAATGCTATCATATCTTTTAGATATCTCTCTTCCCATTGTACTGTGAGCCAGAGCCACCTCTTCTTAGCAGTTATACTCCAGCCTCTTACATAATAAGTGTTCAACAAAGGAAAGAAATACAAAGATTAGACAAAGGAAATCATCAGAGAAGCATAATACAAAAATTTGTTTTATGGGTCTATCCATACCACCAAGTTGGAATTAATGGGGATTGGTTATATGCATTTTATTTCCTCCACAATTTCTCTTACATGTTTACCAGGATATAAAAGGCACAGAAGAGTACTACTTTAAACAAGCTGGACACAAAATTGTGTAGGTAATATTATTGCATCTGTTTCAAAAATAACCATATGAGAGGAAATTTGGTATTTTGAGATGAGAAGGTCTACCATTTTTCCTCCTTTGCAAACTAAACTCTCTTTCCTTCCTCCCCAAACCGCTTGTCCTCGTTCTTCTGATTTGGCCTTGTGGACAAGTGGCCAAGTTTTCAGTAACAGATTTTGGTGCCCCTGGGTGGGCCCACTGGCCTCTTGGTAGAATGGCACCCTGAGACTGAGGCAGGGAGCAGCTCCAGGACAAGCCATGGGTAAGGGCATCACCTTTTCGAGTAAGAAAGAAATGGATTTTCAGCAGCTGCCAGTGCTTGACTTCACTCCAGGAAGTCCCATCTCTTTCTTTCCGGATTGATGAAGCTCTGCCCAAGCTGAACTGATTTTGGGGAGCAGGAAACAGATTTGGGAAGTGTCACAACAGCCATGGCCATTTATAAGTAAAGCCCCCCAGGGAGACCAGGACCCTGTTTCCACCTGTTGGGGGAGGGGGGTTTGTGACCTCCCTGTTGGTTTACAGGCACCGTTTGTGGGTGGAAACGTAATGGTTTAGTGAGGTGGGGACCTTGAGCTTTTTTGCAGCCCCCAGGGAATGGGGGAGACTGGGCCACCATTTGGGGAAGGCTTGAACCTTCCAGCCCTATGGCAGGGCATTTGGGGCACTGTGGAGATGTAATTTGGGTGGTCTTGTCCCCTTTGGTTTTCCATTTGTTTGATAGGCCTGGCATTTTGTGTTGAGAATTCTCTGTATTGTCTGTGTTTGTTTGTAAATTTTTGTTGCAACATAGGAAAGTTCCATCTAAAAGTCCTTTGGGAAAAATTTTGACTGGATGGTAAATTTATAACTGCAAACCTACATCTAAGGAAAATGGTTGTATCATTTTATCGTAATCCAATGTATGTGCTGGAGTGTGAGGAAAAGTGGCTGTTAAATGAAACTTGAGATTGTACTGTCTTGTAACTGAAATTATTTTGTCAAAGGTCAGGTAAATAGGACAAGATCCTATATGTATTGGCTTATTGGGGAGGAAATGTCTGATTTAAGGTTGGACATTTCATGTTTAATGACTTAGGGTGATCTTAAAGGCCTGTGATAAAGTTAATGCTTTTAACCGTTGAATTTCCCTGGGGGAAGGAAGAACTGGTAGGCACTCTCTCCTCCAAAGGTGTTGGGGGAGCGAGTGCCTGTTGCCCCAGCCCCAGGCACTCTGACACCCCAGGAATGGCCAGGGTGCAGGCAGCCCATCTGCAGGAAGGCACTGCAGGCTCTGATCTACCCCATGCCAGAGACCTACAGCGAGTTGGAGAAATAGCCCAGCACAGGGTCCAGCCTGGGGCAACTAACACCAGCCACAGCCACTTTGATGCTGAGGGAGGGGAATGGAGTAGGGTGGAGCAGGGCAGAAAGGCCTGCTGTCTGGCCCACCCCTGCCAGGCGCGTGCACTAGCAACTGTGAATTATGCCCGGCAGAATTCCTATCTGCCTTTGATATTTGCCTGGAACAGGAGCAGGGTACTTAAGACAATTTCTTATATACATCCCACTGTCAGCTCCATGCGGGCCGTCTGTGAGCAGGCTCTCGGAATCAGGGAGCACCCGAGCTTCCTGTGCTTACCCCAGTCTGTGCAGGTGGTAAATGCGCCTCTGCTTGACCCTGGGAGAGCTTCGGCCGATTGTTGCGTGGGAGAAGGGTGGACAGCCTAAACTCCAACCTGCAGAAAGCACATTGCCACAATGAGGGGTAGGGGAAGTTGGGACTGAAACTAACTCAGGTAGAAATGGTCTCTTCCTCTACGCAGAAAACTCTATTTGGCCAAGGGACGTTCCATAATCAGAAGGGCACAAATTATGTATACTTTTTGTAAAAAGAAAGGACATTGGAAAGAACTTTGCCCCAAAGTTACAAAGGCCTCCGGATAGTAAGAAGACCCCAGGAGAGAAAAAGGGTTTTCTTAAGCCCAGGACTCAGGCGACATGTGGGTTGGGCCAGAGGCCCTGCCTCTAAACATCCCCACAGGAGCCCTGAGAGAAATTGAGAGTGGGGATGCAACTGGTGCCCACCTGCTTGGAGAGCAGCAGTCCGGTGGGGGATCCTCCCACCCCTGACACAGCCCCAAGATACCAGCCACACCTGGGCAAGCCAGGCAGAGAGCAGTGGGGGAGGGGCCAGACAGCAGTGAGGCAGCCATAGACAAGCTGCAGCTGAAGGACCTGAATGGTATTACAGGATCCCGGGACTGGAATGGCTGTACAGTACTTTAGACTGTGTTAGGAATTTTTAAAGGTGCTTTCCTGCCCTGTTTGATGAAAGCATAGCAGGGTGTTTGTGAACCTACAATTGGCCAGATTTGTAAACTTATATTCACTTATCTGGGGTTCCTAGGAATGGTGCCTGGATCCCAGACTTCTGACTGATGGTGCTAAGCCCTTGTATGAGGCTCTTAAGGGAACAGCTTATATTAATATTTTTTTGCTAACCTTTCTTCGATTATTTGCTCTGTCTATGGGATGGAGAGACAACCCCTTAGTGAGGATTTCCCTGAGCTAAACCTGTTCTGTTGATCTGTATTTGTCATCTGTATATGATTTCTGAATTTGCAGAAGCTGGTCTCTCAATCACTTAACAGGGTGCTTTCCTGCCCCAGCCATGTATCAGACATTGTCTATGAGGTGGATAGTCCATTTTGCCTTGCCAATCCTCGCTGTTGTAGTTATTGCTTTTTCTTCTGTTGTTGTAAATATACTGCCAAAGCTTTGCAATGACACACATTAAGTATAAACCTTCCAGCTGAAACATCACCCCTATTTCAGTAGGAAGTAGCTGGATGACAACATCGCTCCTCCTCCCATAGATATGGAAGTATAATATTGAGAGTGGGGAACATGTAACAGGGAATGGCCTGGGGGGGCAAAAAAAGATTTTCTGTCTCTTTAAAACTTCCCCCACTCTTTTTGGGAACTACAGCCTGGCTTGTATCACTGAGGCAGGTTAAACCATTTGCTAAAACCCCCTGGTGGCACCAGCTCCCCCAGGCCTTGTCTTTGGATGAGATAGGAGGATTAGAATAGTTAACCACAGTAATTGCCTGAAGCTGTGAACCCTCCCTTTAAAAGCTCTGTATTTCTGCCTATGTCCAGGGATTTTGAGATTTTGAGATGAGAAGGTCTACCATTTTTCCTCCTTTGCAAAGTAAACTTTCTTTACTTCCTCCTCAAACTGCTTGTCCACATTTTTCTGATTCAGCCACAAAGGGTGATGGGAGAAATTAAAATCTGATCGAAAGAAAATGGGGGACAAGCGTTTATTAGAACAAAGCCAAGGGTCAATGCAGGAAAGGGGGAGCCCGTTCCCTGGAATACATGGCCTGGGAAAAGTGGAGGTACCAGGTGTGGAGGAAACGAGGCCCAGAGGACATGTACACTGCTGATGATCAGACTTCTGCATCCTGGTTTCCTGAATACAAGACACACTTGTATACTAATAGAGATGCTATCAATGTTGAGCATAATTGATGATTTAGTCACCACTTCAACATGACATACCCTACTCTTAATTGTATATCCCAATATTAAAGACTTTTAACAGGAAAAAAAACAAATAAGAAATATACTATAATTAAAAATACTAAAACATCAATAGTAGTTGTATATAGATGGGTAAATTGTTTATCAAAATTTTCTAAAATGGCTGGGTATGGAGGCTCATGCCTAGAATCTCAGCACTTTGGGAGGCTGAGGTGAAAGGAATGCTTGAGGCCAGGAGTTCAAGAACAGCCTAGGCAACATACTGAGACCTTGTCTCTACAAAAAATAAAAAATTATCCAGGTGTGATGGTACACACCTGTAGTCCTAGCTACTCAGGAGGCTGAGTGAGGCAGGAGGATCGCTTGAGTCCAGGAGTTCTTTTGTAAAATCTCTCATGCTCCACACCTATGCATTTGTGCTATTCAGCAAACATCCGGCAGAGGAGTGAAATGCCAGGCTCCCCTTCTTACAAGTACTCCTCCAACCTCATCATGAGGATCTCTTACGGCTCCCTTCATTTGGCTCGTGGGTAAGGCTCAAAGACCCATCAACTGCAAGCTCCCTTCAAAGAATTCCCTTCTCTAACAAATGTCTAGGCTTGACTTAAGCTGCTGATGGTGATGGATACTGGGCCAGTCTGGTTCAGTCTGGTCCAGTGTATCATAGCAAGTCCTCTAGGATGTGCCTAGCACCTCTTTTGAAAATGAGGGCGTGTCTACTGTCCATCGTCCTTAGCTTTGAGGATTCAGCCAGAATTCCACAGCAACAGAAAAAATTTCATTTAACGTCAGTTATGTACTTTTACAAAAATGGGATTATATGTACACATTAAAAAGCATTATGTCTCAGAATGTATTACTGGTCTTTTATACCTTATGTATATTGAAAGAAATAAAAATATGGATATGATAAAATCCCTGTCTTTTAAAAAGCCTACTATCCATCAGGGAAGATAAGACACATAGACAAATAACTGAAATAAAAAGCATTATAAATGCCATAAAAGTTAAAAAAAATTATAGGTGATAAAGGGAAAAGTCGCTTCCAGTGTGAAGTACAGATGAACATTTATTAGGACAGGTTCAATTTCAGCCAGAGTCTGAAATATTGGTAAGATCTCAATAGTATGAAATCAAGGCAGGGAAACACATATTCCAGAGACAGGAAACAGTGAGTAAAAGCACAGAGACTGAAAAACATAACATTTCTTCAGGGAATATTAAGTAGTCCAATTTTTTAAGGAATATAATATTCCCCAGATAACTTGGCCTTCTTTTTGACAATGCCGATAAAGACAGCCTAGATTTATTAAGAATCCGTCGTCATGCATTGACACATTATTAGGGCACTATGGAAACACTTTGGGACTATGTCATGAGGGGTAGCTAGGAAATATAAACGGTTCATTTTGCAGTAGGAAAGCACTGAAGAATTGTGAGTTACAAAGAAACACCAGGCTGAACAAGGGCTAAAGGCGAGAAGGAAAGTAGCAAAGAGGCATGTGCAATAATCCCTGGCTGAATTAGGATGGTGGCAGGAGGAATGCAAAGGAATGCACCAATTCAGGTGACAATCCATAACCTTTTGTGCATTCTGCCCATCAATCACCTTGATAACAGCAGTAAAGCCTTGCTGGAGAGGCTTTGGGTTGACTGTTCACTAGTGAGGAAGGATTTGCTCTGAGAATACAAATTCCCACTTCTTATCCCCGTCAAGGCCAGGGTAATGTATTTTCAAAGAGGCTGTCTAGTGTTAAGGGTCTAGGAGGAAGTCATAGAAAAAAGCTAAGTTAACTAGCACATGAGGGAATCCAACTCACCCACAGAGGCAAAAAACGTTACAAGCAGGAGGTTTAAATGACTCAACAGAACAAAGGAACAAAGGAATGGCAAACTAGCATTTTCTTGAATCTGCCTCCATTTTAAACCTTCCCATAATAGCAAAACATCAAATGTTCAGAGTAAACAATGATTGTATTAATTGAGAAATAATAATAAATTCTACCGAGGGACTGTGAATATTTAAAGCTATGGTGCTAATTTGAAGTGCTATTCAGCATTCTAATTCTATACTAAGTGCCCTAATAATGTGTCAATCTAAGACCAGGAATTCTTAATATCCTGGGCTGTCTTTATTGTTATCATAAAAATACAAAGCATAATGGCTACTAAGACTTTGCAGTATCCTAGACCTGATTCAACACCCTGAAGCTACCTTGATGTTTTACAAATTTCACTTTGATGCCAGATATAATTAGTGATCAAATGTTTCGAGATTGGGTCAAAAGGGGAAATAATGAAAAGGGAAGACATTATCATTGGCAAATGAAGGTCATCTTTGTAGAAGCAGAAACACCAAGTGTGCATTACGAGCAGAAAAATTCATGCATTTCTTTGATGGTACTGTATTGCCATCTAGAGGCACAGCAACATACCTATGATGTGCAGTGCTAGTTTGAAAACCAAATTGAAAATCTTAGATGCAAGAACAAGTAAAAAAGAAAACATGAAATTCTAGAGTAATATTTTCAAAGAACTCCTACCTCAACATGAAATAGAAATGGCTTCTAAATCAAAAATAAAGGTATGGGTGTTTTGAAGTAAAGGCTATGTATTTTCCCAGAAATCTGAAATATAAGGGTGAATGAATTAACTATGGAACTTGCAGCAGTTTAAAGATCAACATATAAATGGTTAAAAAGAAATTGGGGATGGGGACAATAAAAGTTAAAGTTTGCTGGGAAGGCGAAAGTCCTTAATGACTTGAACAGCAAAAGATGGTCCCGAATTTTTTCTGAGGCAATGAAGTTTACTCAATTTTTAATAACAAGTAACTAGATGGGCCAAATTACAAATCTTTTGCATTTGAAACACTATTCATAAACATGATCTTTAATAACACTTCATTTTAACCTGAAACAATGTTATCAACTATAACCAGGCATCCCCAATCAGCCCAAAAATATTATAGAACGTATCTAAATACTGGTATTAGTTGACAGAGGCTGAAAGCCCCTGACCCTCCATAGACAGAGTTCTGAGCTTTGGACTCCATTTACCTGTACTAACACCTGTGTCAGAATTGAGAGGAGGTTTAGGATACCAAA